AATATATAATTATTAGAAACGAAATATAAATTTTTTAAAATAATTTTTTAATAAACTGAATTTTTAAGCATCACGATATTTAACACGATATTTAAAGTCTTAGCCTAGAGTCTCAATTGCACCGATGTTTTTAACACATTTTATGCTTACTTTTTTGTGTCGTTGCCAATATATTTGTTGTTTGAGTAATACCAATAAATATTAATGCTTTCAAGAATGTTTGCAATATTTATTCTGCTTGCCACTACCGTAACACAATCGCAATACGATTCATATACAATTTGCAATTCAGATTTATGCAATGTGTTGAAATGTAGTACGTATTTCATTTAAAAGTAGCTACAGATATCGGATCTCACCGTGCATTATTGCATTTTGCACGTAATTAGATACGCGGCGATTGCACACACACAAAAGTTCGCGGCGTAAAATTGCGTTGCTCTATGAATTTTTCGATTATCGGAAATGCCGGTAATAACGTCGTGCACTTTGCTTAATGTTGCGCAATTCAATTGAGAGTACAATTATCGATTTCTTCAATGTTGTTGCTTCTAGGTCGTCGTACGGCAAGTGGAATTCTGGCTCATTTACTATGCCGAGCGTATCGATCCTTGTGATATTCTTCCTCATCGCAGTACATCAACACCTCAAGTTCTAACGATCCCATGGGAGCTTCAAGTAATTCCGTGTCTTGTTCGAAGATAAGTAAATTACATTTGCATCTTGAGCTCACAAACGGCGAAAGCTGCGACCATCGATTATTCTTCAACAATATCAGCAGTAACAAAATTTTAACTACCACTACGGAACGTCGCAGAGTAGCGTTATGTTAGCAATCGTTAATTATTTTGACGTAAATGTGACTTATCGGCTGATTACTATAAATTTCATTGCAATAAACCGACGAGTAGTTCGATTTTTTACCGGTGAACATCAGACTATATCAGATTGATATATTGAAAAATCGTTTAATTTAACTAATGAATAAACAACAAAAATTTTCGTATTTATAAACATACATATAATTTAATATTGTGCAATATTAATACATAGGTGGTTCAAGTCAAACCGGGACTTTCATTCTCATGAACATAAGAATAAAAAAGTCCCGATTTGACTTGAACCACTCTCGTATTTAGCAATAATACTTAGAAATATTTAATTCACCATAAGTCTGAACGTAAAATGATTTACTTGAAACACATCTATATGTATATGCGTAAATGTACTGTGAATTACGTATAACAATTTGCAATTTTGCATCTACTTAATTAATTAATTAATTAAAAACGTATATAATAAGAGTCAACTTATAAGTGTTATTTGTTATAGGATAGTCAGTTTCATTATTTGTATCCTTAATATAATATGAAGCTACAATTTTTTTGTATTTGTAACATGCATTTTTGTAGGATCTAGGTTTATATACATATAACTTCGTTAACATATAATTTCGTTAACAACTATATTCCTCGATTTTTAAAATGCATGCATGTTAATCGATAAATTCACTTTATTCTATGTACAACTTTTTCGACTGATGTCTCTTTATTGTAAATGTTTGTGTAATAAAGCTGTATTTATTAAAATAAAATTCTTGATTAATTGTAAAAATCATCTTGTTTTCTATTATAATCAATCTCATCTAATTGTAAATCTAATTGTAAAATTATTTATTATTAAATTGTTAAGTAAAAATTAAGTAAATTTTTTAAGTAAAAATTGAAGTACGAGTTTAATGCAAACACAGTTATATGTGTTCAAATTTAAATCAGAACGTTCAACTTTCTTTTTTCTTTAATTTCTTTAAGTTCTTTAAATTAATCATTTTATTAAGAATATATAACTACGCACTTATTGCGCTAGACTCTTACATCGTATATTAGTCCTATTCTAATTTTACATTTATTTCAATTTTAAGAGTTTTGATTTGTTCATTTAAAGATGCTATTAGTGATATTAACATACTCTATTAACTTCATTACGTAAATATCAAAAATATTTTTTTATATGAAGTATACGATGAGCAGAAAAGTTGGAAAAAGAGGTTTCAGTCATGCAGCGTTGAACTTTAAATTATAACGTGTTATCGTCAGGCACGTACTATTATGTGCAGCTACCTGAGGAATGAGCATAATATCTATATTTACCATGTTCTCATTAACCTATATAGGTAGGTACATTTACATAGTACAGCACGAAACTGCGGATTTACGCGAATCCTAACTACATGTGAGTAATAAATTTTTCTAGAAATTGATAGTTCTCTTCTCTTCCCCTGGATTTCTGACTCACAAGAGCTGGTCACTGTACCAAGAAGTAAAGTTGATACTGAAGGAACGTACTAAGTAGATTTTAGTGACTATCCGTCCCAAATTAAGACGGACAATTTTAAATTTTAACACTGCATCCCACTTATTACAATGCATCCTAAATTAAGGATACGATTATAAATTGTTGTTCTTTTAAGTGTAAAAATAATAAATGAAAATGATAAGTATGGAATATAATTTTCAACTAATATGTGAAAAATTTTATGATTTTTTATTTAAAAACCCAGATTCATAAAATACATTTAATAGAAATGTACAATTTTTAAAATTAACACCTTAGTTTTTGGCACCCTTATTACATACGTTCGGTCATTCGTGTACTGGATTAATTTTCATCACTTTTACAAGTATATATAAATTATTAAATGATTTTTACGTATATTTAGAAAGTTTTTGTACAGTTATATATTCATAACAAATTGTAGATAAATTGTTATAACTAAATATAGTTAACAAAATGAGAAAAATGCATTGTTTCATATAAAAATGTAAAACTCTGAAACAAAAATGTTTAAAGGGAAAATATAGTTCAATATTTTAAAATTGATATTCCAAACTACAAAAAAAAATAATTCAAGTATCGGCTGTTCAAAAAGTTCAATTATTAAATAACCTGAAAATGATGTTTTTTTAATATGCATGAATGGCTATGAATTGAAGATATATTGCATTTACATTTTAAACAATGCATTTTATTATTGCTATTGTGTTAAAAAAACTTATAATTTATTAGGAAAATGTTCTTTATAACATTACAACATAATATATAATATATAATATTACTGACAACGTTAACACAAGAGCGCCAAAAATCGTGTTTATAAAGGCTAATATGTTGTTCTAGCTATGGTTAAATTATTTTTTTAATAATTCGCGAAATATTCCCATAATACAACTGAGAATTAGAAAATAAAAAAAAAAATAAAAATTTTTTAGTTACAAAAAATGTACACACACGTTGGGTTATTTGTGACTCAGAGGTGAATTTCGGAGTTATGCTAGTTAAAGGATACGTATGAATTGAGGCCGGCAACGCACAAAACTTATTCTCTAGATGCTAAATTTTTTTTTAAGAATAGAAAAGAAACCAAGTGCTCTTAATATTTCAAAGACAAGAAATGCGCAGGACACGAATGAATCCAAAAGTGTGTATTAAGGGTTAAAATATGCTCTCGTAACTTGACGTAATTTTTATTGTAATCTCATGTGACGTTAAGTGTTTATTAGTTAGTTAATTACGAATATAATAATATAGTATTGTGTATATTTCGTTAGCAATACAAAAAATGTTTATCTATTAAAATTTAATTACGATAATTAATATTGAATTTTTTTAAATGTCTCTTTTTGCCTTCTTAAGGAGTTGGTCACCTTAATGTAGATGCCTATCAGGTGGATCGAATCGTGAAAACAAAAACTTATCGGTGTGCTCGTAAATAAGTCGCCTGTGACCTACTTTGCACGTCCTATACCAGGTATATGTAAATAATGTGACTTATTGAACTGGCAGGGACTTTCGTTTAACGTGATGCTCACGCGCGATTTGTCTGATCTCCGATAAAATTGTGGCAGATTGCGTTCGTCCATGGAGAAGACTTCACCCGCAATGCAGTTCTAAGTAATGCATTTGGAGTTAGAGAATTGAAATGTTTTCATTTCTTCAATTGAACAGTTAGTCTCTCACACTCTGTATATACACTGAAAAAAATAGTTGAAAATGGACAAACCAGAAGATTTTAATTTAAATCAACCAGAATTCCGGTTATCTCAACTAGAATTTTAGTAAATTTAACCAAAAAATTTTCTAGTTGATTCAACCGTATAGTTAAAAATAAAACTTTTTGGTTAAATCTACTAAAATTCTAGTTAAGATATAACCGGAATTCTAATCGATTTAATAAGAATCTTTTGATTTGTTTATTTTTAACCAAACCATTTTTCTCATAATCTAATACAAATATGGAGTCACAACAGGATCAATAGTTAACGTTTTACCAACACGCAAAGTTTATCTGATTGTTATAAAGTTAAGTCCACCGAAGATACCTGCCGTATAATTTTTTGAATCGTGCGTCAATTTCGAGCGTAGAGATGTTGTGATGGAAGCGAATTGCCTCTAGATCGAAGATCCGGGGTAATTACGAATTAAAAAGGACACCGAACTCTCTCTCTCTCTTTCTCTTTCTCTTGAAGCAGAGAATAGAACCTCAAACTCAAACCGAAGGGTACTGTTTCACTGTAGAAGTTAAGTATGTTTTTCTACAAGATAATACATTCGTAAATACTAATTATATATCTTTTGTGTTTTTTAATACTCTTTAGAGGTTCACTTCTCTCTTTCGGGGAGTGTCAATGGTGAGGGAATAAGTGACCATGGTTACCATCGACAATCACCTTCGCCTAGAACTGCAGACCAATAATGAATTTGTAACGCAGGACTTCGACCTGGAAACCGTGCTCTCGCCTTCGGTAGCCTCGAGGTCGAGGATTTCGATCGAAACCTTCCCTGTAGACTCGAACAAAGGAACACCACCTAGATCGCTCTCATTGACCGTACGGCTGCCGCACGGAACGCAAGCCAATCGACTATATGTCTGAATTTTTAAGTTTCCGTGAATTATTGATTCGAAACAATAATAATAAAATCAAAGTAAAGTTTAATTAACGACAGATAAATACGAAAAAGCATCATGGAATCGTGCGGGATGAATGTTATCAAATACATCCTCTTTATCTTCAATTTAATCTTCGCGGTAAGTAGAGCGAATTGGAGGAATGACAGTTTTGTCAGGATTAATCTTGGTGGCAAGTTTTTGAAGTGAATCAAGTATAGGAAATAGCTTTATTTGATTTTTATATTCTTATTTTCTGAGATTTTAAGTATCCGGTTTTTAATGATTTTTCTGTTTGAAATACTTTCAGGTACTTATGTACCGCGCAAAAAGATTCGGTTATTTGTGATATGTGCTTTTTAAACTGTTAATATTTTCGAAAGTTTTATTTATACACTGAGAAAAAATAATGTAAATTTTAATAAATATTTATTTGAGTAGTGCCAACTAAAGATTTATTTACAGTAATAAACATTTGCTTAATAAAAAGAAATGATAAATCAAATTAATGATTTTTATGTCAAATAAATATGTATATCTTTATATTTAGTAAATATTTAGTTGGCACTACTTAAACAAATAATTTATTAAAATTTAATATATTCTTTAGTGTGATATAATACAAATATTCATGATTATGCTCGAGAATTTTTGGAAAGATAGAAATAAACATGTTGTGTAAGTGCGCGCGCGCGCGTGTATGTGTGATCATTTTTGCTTCAACGTTCAATGGCTGCATTCAGCAGAAAAAGCAGCTTTGCAACTGTTGTAAAATTCTTCAATATGATTGGTTTATATGTTTAGATCTATAAGGAACCAAAAGCAAGAATCAATCATATTGAAGAATTTTACAACAGTTGTAAAGCTGCTTTCTCTGCTGAACGCAGCCAATGACTCAATGAAAAACATTGTACAACGCTCAATAAAAAAGCAAATTGAAGATAAAGATTCACTTAAGATCACTTAAGTGAAAACTGAGTACTTTTAAATATAAGTAACGGTAATGAATTATTTTTAACAAAAAGTAACTGTAATACGTTATTTTTTTTAGGTAACGTTCTCAAATCCCAACTCCAGTTACGATATAACGTATGTACATGTAATTGTAATTCCTTACTTGACAATACATATAATTGTAATATAATACGCACGTGTTATATTAAAGTTATATTGTTGAGTGAAAAATTACAACTAATATGTACGTTACATGGAATTTGCTAAGATATACAAGTAAAAAATGACAAAACGTTATATAATTTAAGAGATTATATATGTAGGTTACGATTATTACTATTATTACTCCTTTGATATCTAATAGTGATAGAAGAGACATAGTCGACATAAACATCATTCTATATTCTTGTTGGCATTCAATGAATAACGAAGAACGACACTTGTATTGACTATGTGTCCTAAAAGGAAACCAGCTTTTACAAAGCGAGAGCGAAACAAAATAGAAAAATCAGGGTTGTTAACGTTACATAAAAAAGTAACGAAGTTACTGGTTTCGTTACTTTTTTTTTAGTAACAAATGAATAACATAGTTACTTTTCCTAGCGAGTAACAGTAACTAAGTTACAATTTTCAGTAACAAGTAACGAAATTTTATGTTACTTTTCTCGTTATTCCGTTGATGTAGAGTTAGGGTGAAATCACACGGTGCGGAAAAGGACTGTGGAATAGAAAATGCGTCATTGAAGCAACCCCAATTAACGCTATTCCGCACTTTTCCATTATGCAAGTTTCGTGTACTATGTTCACATGGTGCGTCAAATATGCATCCAGAATGAATATAATTTAAAAGAAAGACTTTTTAATATTGGTGAACTCGTTTTGTCGAATCTTCAACACCGCCTAATAGACGGACATTTTGAACAACAATTGTTATTGAAGAAAAATTCAAAATTCAGGGAAATAAATCCATTATAATTTAAAGTTAAAAAATATTCTATTATTTCTAATGTAGATTGATATGTATCAAAAGTACCAAAACCAAATAAAGGACTCATAAAATAAAAAATAAAATAAAGCTAATAAAATATAAACTAAAATAGAACTATAAATTAAAAAATGATTTATTCTTATGTAGCTATTTATATAAATATAATTATTTTTTGAAAAATAACGAAAAAGGTAACGGTTTTTTTCGTTACTTTTAAGTAACGATAACGCGTTCCTTTTACAATCGGTAACGAGTAACGAATAACGTATTACTTTTTACAGCAAGTAATAGTAACTGTAACACGTTATTTAAAAACGGTAATGTTAACAACCCTGAGAAAAATAACTAACAATACTTCTTACTGTGCTTATTTATATAAGACGAAATATGTTTGTGTAAATAGCAAGTTATCGCTTGGTTTTGTTTTTAATCCTTGTAACATTTTAAAATAATTCTTTTTTTTAATTAAGAAAAGTTATTATCAAAAAAAGTATTTATTTAAAAAATTTGTGTTTATATGAATATATACGTATAGAAATTTCTACAACAATAATTATTTCTTTCTATTAATTAATAAAAATTATTTTTAAAGGATATTCATTTAAGAAATGTGCTTTTATGAATTCATTTAAAAAAATTTATGCGTTTTAATTCTACTAATTTTATTTTTATTTTTTTTTAAATTAAGAAAATGTAAAAAAGAAGAAAAATTTCAAGGACAAAAAAATACATGTACAATAATTGTTAAAATTGATTTTTTCAGATATCTGGTATAGGTATTATTGTGGCTGGTGCGTTGGTGTTAATAAATGTCGGCGAATTCGATCATTTCATGGAAAGCAGGATAATAGCACCGCCTATAGTGCTTATAGTAGCGGGATCAATTGTTTTCGCCATAGCTTTTCTAGGATGTTATGGAGCGATAAAGGAGCATTATAACATGTTGCTTGCAGTAAGTTAAAAAAAAACGAAAAAATTGAAAAACTTAGAGTAAAAAGTTTTTCTATTAAATAATTTTATATATTAATTTTAATATAATAGATTTTTTGATTATTTTATATACTTGAATTAATCTCAAATAAAATTTCCAAAAAGCTTAATAAAAATTAAATCAGAGATTTCATGTTTATGTAATATAAATATATGAAACTGTACGTACGTATAATTTCAAATATCTTTATTTTGCTTTGTTTTTAAATATAATTTTTTGTGATGGAAAACAATAAATAATACTAAATTACAGTTGTATATAATCTTTGAATAATTATGTTAATATTAAAAATAATTTAGTTTGCGGTCGCATTGTTAATAATCTTCATAATTGAGCTCGCGGTGGGCATAGCGGCGGCAGTGTTAAAAAGCGATTTCAGCATAGAGATGAAGAATACCCTAAAGGAATCGATGAAAAACTATACGGAGACTGACAAGCAAGCTTGGGATAACGTGCAGAAAAAGGTCAGTAAACTGAATTTGGAGCACAACGTACTAATGGATTTGTCGATACAAAAGGTGATGAAATAGTATAGCTTCCGTGCCATAAAGAAAACAATGGTTTCTATAATGATGACGGGTTAGGTCAATTGAAATAATCATCGTGTGCAAATAGACAATTAAAATCGTTTTAGTATTGTAGGTACATTGATTACTCTAATTTCGTATTAACACACTTATACCTTTCAATACTTTAAATTACTTTGTCCTACTTTGACAACAATAGTTTTGTAACAAAATATATTATATAAATCAAATCGCGTGATTAAATAGAGTAGATCGAGGCAAATCGGATCAATATTCAAAAATAAAGTGGTAAAAAAGTAATAAAAAACAAGTTTTATTAAAATGTTTAATTTTTTCAACTTTGGTTTAGATTTCATATAATAAACTATTACATAAACAAAATATTTCTTATTGCACAATAAAAAAATCAAGAAGAATGAATTATTCAATTTATCCCAAAATTGAAGGACAAAGCGAATCATTAGTTTACTAAAGTAATTTAACAAACTATACATTATAAAAAATCATTATAATTTTCAACATATCTTTCCGTTACAAAGTTATAAAATTCGTAATTTTTTTTGGAATAACAATTTATGTAAAAAAAAAATTCTTCGTGTACTCACGATCTCTGCGCTTATATCATTGACTGATATTGAATCACACGAACTACAAATTGTTTGTTTTCTGATGCAAAGGAAGTGCGTGGAAATAACTAGCAAGTGAAATAACTCGTTTGGAAAAAAACAAAATTAACGATAAATTTCGACTAATTTTCAAAATTGAAACTGATTTGTCATCTGATCCGTTTCGATTCAATTTACCATACTTTTAATCAGCATTGGGACTAAGCTAAAATGATAAAAAAGAAATAATTATTTATGAATTATTTAAAATAAGCATCAACTAGTTTAAATTGTTTTAATTAATTAAGTTTGATTATACATCGATAATTTTACTGGTTCATACGACAGCTGCAATGTTGCGGTGTGGATGGTCCTAGAGATTGGATTGAATCTAGTGGAGCATATCCAGCAAGAGAATTCCCGTCATCTTGTTGCGATGATAGAGTATCGATCTGTCAATTCGTTAATGCAAATACAGAAGGATGCTTTAAGAAGTTGGAAATGAGAGTTCAAAATGGAGCGACAGTCTTAATCGGTGTGGGCATCGGAATAGCTTTTGTGGAGGCGAGTAAAGTTTTAGTTTATAACATATTTTAATCAAGCCGACACTGTGTTGGCACTTTACTTTATTGCAATAAAGTTAAACGGGCATTAAGTAAAAGAATAATAGCCTAGGCTAAAAGAGTAAAGAAAAGGTAAAGAAAATTTTTCAATTTAAGAATCATATAACTCTTTATCGTAACAAAAATGTAAATTGAATTTAAATTTGTTCATCAAATATTATTATAGCAATATTTTGAATAAAAAAACACATTTTTTTCTTTTTCAGATTGCCGGTATCGTCCTTGCTTGTTGCCTCGCAGCGGCTATAAAAAAAGAAAGCGATAAATGAAATGAAGTTTATTAAATAATTCAATTTTATGCTACGTCAGACTAATTGTAAGCTGTAAAATTTGCTGTCTCGTCGAGATGAAAATATGAAGATTTTGAACGGTTTAAAAGTAATAAAGCTAAAAGATTTATATTCATCCGTTTAAAAGATTTATCAAACACATCGACGGACAAGAAGTACATCTCATTAACTAATTATTCATTTCATTTATTAATATCGCGCACTGATTTTCAACAATATTTTTTACGCTCGCCTCAAATCAGCAAAATAACGGGCTGTATCAAGTTCCAATAATTATTTAATATCTGCATTTATTATTCGTATTTTATAATTATAATATATGATACTCTCTTCTGCTTTTATATTACGTAATTAACTGCTTAAGTAGTTGCGAAGGAAACTAGAGACATTTTCAGTATAGAAAAATATACGATTAATATTATTAAAACAATACTATATTATTAAAAAATATTAATACTTACTTTTTTTAAATGTATATCAAAATAAGATTTTTTAAGAAATCATGTTCCTCACACACACAGAAAGTTAGTTCATAATTATATGTAGAATATATCCTACCGTAACCAAGAAACAGAACAATTATAATCGGTGTGTGTTGTGACGATATTTTTGACATATTATACACGTACAGTTAATATTATCTATATTATTATATGATATATGATATTTCGTTCCTATTAAACAAGGATCGATTTATTTGTGGTTATATAAATGTGTGATTGTATAAATGTATGTCTAAATGTAGATTGTATGTTTTTATGTGCTATATATAGTTGTATCTATTCCTACAACAAATATTTATCTTTTATCTTCAACACACCAGTAGCTGTAAATTGTCATCTTCCTATATGTACAATAATAGCTATAGACATTGATCAATTCGGCATATTTTTTAATTTATCTATTATACGTATAACGAGCATATTTTGTATAAGTAACGCACGATTTGGCAATCTTCTGCAAAAATAAATTATCTAATATATATCACGTATTTCAGTTATATTTACCTTTAACGGTTCCGCTGTTAACGGTTCCGAATTTTAATTTTTTAAACTGGTTTTTTATCCATACAGCAATTTCTAAAGACGTTCATAGAACATTTTAAGAATGTAAAAATATTCTTAGAACATTCATATAAGTTCTATTAATGTCGTGTGCTATCTGGATATTTTCTGATTAATTTGTGACTAGGCTTAACTTAATAATAATATAAAAATTGTATTGATAATGTAAAAATTGTATTTTTCTAGCTATACCTAATCACTAAAATAATGATTTTATAGTGAGTAATTTTTAAAGTTACCACTATACAAAACTGCTAGCTTAATGATTAATCATATAAGAGCTAGAAAAACACAATTTTTACATTATCATCAAAAGTGAGTTGAATCTAAATTACAAGTTAACTAGGTATATAATAAGAAACTGGGCCTTTATGTTATACATATAATGAGGAAACTAAAAAAATTCTAATTTAAACTAGAATATTGAAAATATTCATAGTATTTTAATTTAATCGCATTAAACTTCCTTTAAAGATAAATGTTAAATTTAGAATCAATCGTTCTTCTTAACGACAAATTTTTTATAAATGTTATATACAAAACATCAAAGCTCTTAATATTAGATACAAGTATTATTTTAGATATTTCGATGCTAATTTAAATTTTTCTGAAATAATTGATTAAAGTATATGTTATTAAATATGAAATTATTACATAGATGAACATAGAGTAATTATTACATAACAATGACATTAAAAAAATATTGCAAAAAAAACTCCCCGGCGGGGAATCGAACCCCGGTCTCCCGCGTGACAGGCGGGGATACTAACCACTATACTACCGAGGACTCTTGTATTAAAGCATTCTTTTCATACTACATAAACGATTTATCTCACTTTAAGTAACATATATATGTTGTGTGTGTGATTGTAGGTTATAGTAAATATAGATTTTATGTAACAATAATTTATGTGTATAATTTATGTAATACACTTATGATAATATATTCATTGTATTAGATGTGTTTAACACATTTTCATATTATCGATAAAATCAAAATTCTTACGAAAATAACATTACAGATGACACAGTATAATACAGTGAATCATTTTATTCTTGTTGTTTATCAATGTTAAACAAGAAATGATTAACTGCGTTACAAGTAGTTGCGTTCAGTAAAAAAAAGTAGTTTAATGAGCAATTTGCGCTAATTGAATTACATTTTTAGATCTAGAGAAATAGTTCTCTATTTCAATACAGATTGATAAAAGTATAATCCAATCAACGCAAAACACTTATTAAATTAAACTATTTTTCTGTTGAATAGCAATTATATAACTTTTTCTTCTTAAGATGGAAACGTAAAAAGTGAAAATTTTATCTCATTGAAGATAATGAAAATGTTCATTTTTCACGTTTCCACCTTAGGGAAAAAGTTACATGTTCGCTATTCTAAATACGTGTCTTGTTTTAAGATCCCCCCTGAATCGTTTATACACACATTTGCAATGATAATACACATTTAATTTCATTGAAAACTAATTTTGTGAAACATACAGTCTCGGTGAAATATACAGTTATATGTATATCCCCTATAGCACAAAGTTGCACGAAAGTTGCAGTAACACTGCTGCAACATTGCAGCAACATTGCATATTACAGCAATATTGCAGAGATTTTGCAGCGATATATATTAAAATTGTTATAAAAATAAATACTATTTTTTAATAAAACTGTTTTTAATTCATTTTTCATTAGATATAGAATATTTATGTAAATTTTTGTGGGAGTGCTTTAATTCGTTTTATTTTATCGCCAAGTAAAATTTTAATGTGTAAGAAAATATTTATAAATATCCTATAATTTACAAGAGAATAAAATCTAATTTTTATTCTGTTAATTTAAATGACCGAGAAAGCAGTAAAAATGCACTCCGTGACAGTTTACATTAAAATATAAATTTAATAAATAAAAGATATTAAAGATATCATCCTTTATTCTTCTTATTATATTTTCATTATCATAAATAAGATATAAGGTTTGAATTTATAAAATTAAGAAGAGGAAAAGGTGTAAAATCGAACTCGTATAAAATTTAATTCACATTTGATGTATACGTATAGATCGCAGTTGCCATCTATACGACGCGAGAGAAAGCCACGTGATTTATCGATCGAGTTAAATGTAACGTGTAAAATTGTAAATTAATGTCTTAGAAATGACTTTGCCGCTTAAAATTTACAAAAATAGTTAAATTTTACTTAATTAATCAATTTTGTATTAAATAATATAATTATTTAAAAATAATAATTATTTATTAAAAATCGCTAAATACTCATGAATATAATGAACACCGAAAGTTATAGAGGTTCCGTGGTGTAGCGGTTATCACGTCTGCTTTACACGCAGAAGGTCGCCAGTTCGATCCCGGCCGGAACCACTTATAATTTTATTCTTTATGGTAATTTTTTTTTAAATATACAAATATATGACACACATAAGAGCTAGAGGAGAGCTAAAGATTCACTTATTTTTCTATTTTTTAAAATATAACCACTCTTTTTTTTAATATTCACATTGCATTCTCTATGTTCTTAATATTTAATTATAATGTACTTGAGAATTTTTATTAGTAAAATATAAAATTATCGATATAAGTCTTTAAGAATTGCAAGCAAAAAATTTTATTTTTTACTTTGTATTCTTTTATCTTGAAAACGATCATGAAAAAGTTCAAACTTGCATAACATAAAACCATGATGCAATATTGTATCTAATAATGGATATTGTTCAATAAAGAGATAAAAGGGTTATTATGTTCATTTAATTTCCATGAAATCGTATTAAAATACTATAAGGTACGTGCAAAAAAGGGAGCAATATATAGCTTTAATTATTATTTTATTAACATACGCGTGTATTAACGTTACAATTTAAAATTTCAAATTTATCTTTCTGTAATTCATGAGAAAGGTCTGTCATAAACTTGTGGAATTTTTTGTAAAAAATTGAAAAATTATTATATTAAAAATTCTGATCTTTTGTTTAAAAAAAGCTAATTGTCAAGTAATTATATAATATGGAATTTATACACGCAAATTTAAGAGATAATCGTTCCTCACAACGTTTTCTTACTGAAAGAGATCATCTCACACACCTCGATTATTTTGATATCAAGGTGCAAAATTTTGTCTATATACAGAGTGTTCCATTTTTATTTCCCCAAGCAAATATCTCGAAAAATTTGAAAGATATAGAAAAATGTTTTAGACAAAAGTTGCACAAAATGGTTTACAGAGGGACGTATTTTGGTCATGTTGTTTTTCATTTTAAAATCCATTCCATCCATTAAAATCAATTCTATTTTAAAAAGTGGATGTGACCATATTTTTTTGACGCCTCCACCTAGAAGAAAGACAACATAACCAAAATGTGACCCCTTCTAAACCATGCAACTTTTATCTGAAACATTTTTCTATACCTTCCGTATTTTTCGAGATATTTGCCTGGAGAAATTAAAATAGGACACCCTATATATGGGAGAATGATGTGGCTTTTAAATGTGCATTGATATTACCTTATTCGCTATCTTACCTTGTCGTAAGATAAAATGCTGAAAGAGATTCGAAATTGAAATTGGACTTACTTTGGTTGTACTGGCAAAGAAACAGTTGGTTAGGCACAGGTGGAGGGCCAGATGGTACGGGTTCAGTGAGACAGTGAATGAAGGACTCGAAAGGAGCCATGCTCAATGCTCTTTCCATTCTTGCCTCTCCTAGGACTCGAATCCCTATAATAAAGAGAAACGTGACAAGATGAATAAAAAGACCGAATATCAATTTAGGTTTCCTGTTGCGCCCTACAATGTTACTGATCCTTTCCTTACATTATCCTGCGCAATCATGATCGATCGATCTCAAGATGACGTACACATCAAGGTCGTTCGTTCAATTTAAATCTAAATCTGATTTCATT